CTGAATACTTTCCGTACCCACTGTATATATATATATATATATATATATATATATATATACACACTGCTGTTCAAAAGTTTGGGATCAGTAAAATTTGTAATGTGTTTTAAAGTAGTCTCTTCTGCTCATCAAGGCTGCATTTATTTGACCAAAAATACAGAAAAAATCTGTAATATTGTGAAATATTATTGCAATTTAAAATAATGGTTTTCTGTTTTAATGTATTTTAAAATATGATGTAGGCCTATTTCTATGATGCAAAGCTGAATTTTCAGCATCATTACTCCAGTCTTCAGTGTCACACGATCCTTCAAAAATCATTCTAATATGTGGATTTGCTGCTCAAGAAACAATTCTTATTATTATCAATGTTAAAAACAGTTGTGCTGCATAATATGATGGTATGGCTTTTTCTCTTGTAGTAAACTTGCTTGGTAGCTCACCTGGTACAGCATTGAACTTGCAATGATTCCTGTGATCAAAGCTGAATTTTCAGCATCATTTCTCCAGTCTTCATTTTTGTGGAACCTGTGATACTTTTTTCAGAAATGGAATCAGAATTAGCTTTATTCGCAAAGCACCAAGGAATTCGTTGTGGTTTTTTAGGAGCTCTTGGTAGAAACATACATACATGGCATGAGAACAGAAAGCTCTTCGACCTCCTGTCTGTAAGCAGACTCGTCAATATCCTGAATGAGACCGATGACTGTAGTGTCGTCTGCAAACTCCAGGAGCTTGATAGAGGGGTCAGTAGAGGTGCAATCATTCGTGTAGAGGGAGAAGAGCAGCGGGGAGAGGACACAGCCCTGGGGGGCGCCAGTGCTGATCGTGAGAGTCTTGGATGTGAGTTTGCCCAGCCTCACTAGCTGCTGCCTGTCTGTGAGAAAGCTGGTGATCCACTGACAGATGGAGCTAGGAACAGAGAGCTGTGTGAGTTTGGTCTGGAGGAGTGTTGGGATGATGGTGTTGAAAGCGGAGCTGAAGTCCACAAACAGGATCCTCACGCAAGTCCCTGGTTTGTCCAGAGGCTGGAGAGACTCCGTCTGGGCCTTTTTCAGGTTCTTTGATGAATACAAAGTTAAAAAGAACAGTGTTTATTCAAAATAGAAATCTTTTGGAACAATATAAGTCTTTATTATTACTTTTTATCAATTTAACACATCTTTGCTGAATAAAAGTATTAATTTCTTTCAAAAATAGAAAGAAAGAAAAAAACTACTGACCCCAAACTTTTGAACTGTACCGTATATTGTTACAAAAGATTTCTATTTTGAATAAACACTGTTCTTTTTAACTTTATTCATCAAAGAATCCTGAAAAAAGTATCACAGGTTCCAAAAAAATATTAAAGCAGCAAAACTGTTTTCAACATTGATAATAAATCAGCATATTAGAATGATTTCTGAAGATCATGTGACACTGAAGACTGGAGTAATGATGTTGAAAATTCAGCTGCGCATCACAGAAATAAATTATATTTTAAAATACATTAAAACAGAAAACCATTATTTTAAATTGCAATAATATTTCACAATATTACAGATTTTTTCTGTATTTTTGGTCAAATAAATGCAGCCTTGATGAGCAGAAGAGACTACTTTGAAATACATTAATTCTTACTGATCCCAAACTTTTGAACAGCAGCGTGTATATTATTTATTTACCTGTTTTTTATTATCTTTTAAGCTCATTTAATCAACTGTTTATGGTTGGTATATTAATATAGAATTCAGTTGTTGCTTCAAGTCAGCAGGCAATATACTGTGTATACTGCATAGTATTGAGTATAAGCTCAGTGTTAAGCAAGTATGATGCAGTGTAAGCAGGCCCTGATGAAGCAGGTTTGATGTGTTCATTATGGTTTGTGTGTGTAGTTCCCGTCTCTGCCACTAGAGGCTCCTGAGCTGCTTTGATCAAATAAATGCAGCCTTGATGAGCAGAAGAGACTACTTTGAAATACATTAATTCTTACTGATCCCAAACTTTTGAACAGCAGCGTGTATATTATTTATTTACCTGTTTTTTATTATCTTTTAAGCTCATTTAATCAACTGTTTATGGTTGGTATATTAATATAGAATTCAGTTGTTGCTTCAAGTCAGCAGGCAATATACTGTGTATACTGCATAGTATTGAGTATAAGCTCAGTGTTAAGCAAGTATGATGCAGTGTAAGCAGGCCCTGATGAAGCAGGTTTGATGTGTTCATTATGGTTTGTGTGTGTAGTTCCCGTCTCTGCCACTAGAGGCTCCTGAGCTGCTGCAGTTCTACAGTCCTGACAAGCTGCTCAGAGAGACTCCGCTGTTGCCTGGCGACCGCATCTCTGTACCCCGCCCACGGCCTGTGCCTAGACCCGCCCACACAACCTTTCACCTACATCATCGGCACAAACTCTGGGAGTAATGAACTCTGTGTGTGTGTGTGCATGAGTGCGTGTGCGTGCATGTGTGTTGTGTGTGAGTGAGTGTGAGCGTGAGTGTGTGTCTGTGTGTCAGTGTTATTGTGTGTCTGTGTGTGAGTTTGAGTGTGTGTGTGTGGTGTATTTATATATATGTGTGTGTGTGTCTGTGTGTGAGTGTGTGTCTATATGTGTGTGTGTGTGTGTGGTGTATTTATATGTGTGTGTGAGTGTGTGCGTGTGTGTCTGTGTGTGTGTGTGTGTGTGTGTGTAGAAGAGAAAATGTCTGCTTTGATTGGTTGATGACTGTCTGTGTGTGTCATTCATATTGTAAGCTTTATTGTATATTATTAATGTATTGTTTTTTAGCTTAACGTGAATTAATATAATAGCAATAAATCTGTGATTATTTAAATAATATATTGGCACTGACTGAATGTACAAACACACTCTTGCTCGAGGACATCTTCTGCACAGCAGCTTAATGTTCACCGGGGTTTCTCATTAAAACAATCAATCCACAAATTAATTACCGTGAGTCAACAAGAGCACAGACATCATGAGCTGATTTCTCTGCTCGGCCGAGTTTAACGTTTAAAAGTGTGAATCTCAGGAAAAAATCTGCCGTAATTCACACTAAAATCAAAGGAGAAGAAATTGTATTTTACATGAAGAAATTTGAGGATCATTATAATTTTTTGCATTGTGACTATTTTCATAATTATGCTCATTAACACCTCTGTAATTAGCCTATCTTTACTTTACTATTTTTAATGCATTAATTATACCATGTAATAATGCACCTTATAATGCATTGTATGATCTCATGAATAATCATAACTAGTTATTATAATACTTATCTTTTACAATTTTAGAAAGTATAATTAATTAAAAACACGACAGACAACCAATTAGAGATGCAATAACAAGGAATCTGATGCACTTAAAATTTAGTTACAATTATTTATAAAAAAAAGGTATGAATATTTTTACAATGCATTATACATAAAGGCTTCAAGTAAAGTGTTAATTATTAATTACATAAATTAAATTGAGTACTACAAATAGTAGTATAGTTCACATGCAAATTTTAATGCTCAACTGTCATGAAAACAATGCAAAAAAATCTAAATGTCATGAAGTTTCATTTCATGCTACATATACTATTCATATTTTTGGTAACAATCCCAGTAGTTAACATTAGTTAATGCATTAACTAACAATGAGCAGTACATTTGTTACTAGTTGTAACAAATGTTACTAGTTGCTAGTTTGTGTTCGCTCGGGTCCATTAAATAATAACAACAGATGCAACTTATGATTTTAATAATGCGTTAGTAAATGTTGAAATTAACTAAGAATAATGCATGATTTAAAAAATATTTTTTCTTAGGTAGTTCATATTAACTAATTATACAGTGCTACAAATAGTACTAGTATAGTTTATACTTACTGTACTTTACATGCAAATTTACAAATTTAAGGCATTACTGTAATAAAAGATTTTATTTTTTTTTAATTAATTATATGGGTCTTACATTTTCTATATTTTGTTGAATTACGTTTCACATCATACTTCATGTGATACAAAAATGCTACTTTAGTTCATACGCACTGTACTTTACATCTAAATGTACACAATTCAAATACTTTTTATGGCGTAAATATAATAAAAATTAGATTTGTATTCATTAGGATGGGTTTAAATGTTCTCAACGGTCATGAAATATTTAAATGACGTAGGTTTCATGCCACATATCTTTGTGGTAAGCATTACGTAACAAGCAATTTGTAACAGTATTTATTCATTTTGATTAATGTTAGTTAATGTTGTTTCATGTTACAAGTTTTCATTCCGATGTGTTAGTAAATGTTGCGATCAGCATTCACTAAGAATAATACATGATGTAGCTTCTGTTGTGTTTCTTATTGTCTGAGTGTTTCGTATGTTTGATGTTGAGGTGAGCTGTGAGCAGGGACGGACGGATTGAGTCAGATTGACCATCACTGTGTGTTCCTCTGAGTGTGATCGATCTGTTCCTGTGCTGCTGGAGGTGGCACTGATCTCCAGCGGTGGGCGGCACAGAACAGGAGCACATTCAATAACCGTCCTGCAGCTCTGTGCCGTGAAGATGAAGGAGCCGTGGCGGCTCTGAGCTCTCTTCCAGAGACATGGATGTGCTGGAGGGTTCTGGTTCTGGTTCTGGTTGCTGCGGGAACCGATCGGACTGGGAGGAATGGGAAGACCAGTCGCTCTTCACCGACACCGAGCTGGTGGTGTTAACGACGCTGTGTGTGCCGCTGCTGCTGCTCGGCCTGCTGGGAAACGCCCTGACCATTCTGGTGGTGTGGCGACGCCCACAAATGAGAAGCACCACCTACCTGTACCTGAGCAGCATGGCCTTATCAGACATCCTCATTCTGCTGCTGATGCCTCTGGATCTCTATAAGGTAATCGAGGGTTGATGTGCTTGTTAAAAACGCTTGCATGTCGCCAGCTGTATCATGTGACAGATCAGCATTGGTTGCCATAGCGACTTGTTGCTGGTCAATTGCATATCATTAAGTTCTGTCGTATTTCCACTCGTCGTCGGGTTTCTGTACGTGTGTGTAGGCATACGATATTAGTATTATTTTTTTATATCTCACATTCTTGCAACTCTGAGGAAGAACGTCAGAATTGCAACTGGGGTTGCAAAAGGGGTGGGAGATTTCCGGAAACTTACCAAAGATTCCTGGAATTTAAAAAAAAAAATCCTGGAAATTTTCCCTCTCGCGAGTTTATAACCCAAAATATAGAATTTTGCAAAAAAGATAGGAAGTCGCAATTACCTTTTTTTTATTTATTTTTTTAATCCCGTCGCAGCTTCCAAAGAGTTCACACCTCAATCAAGTGTGAAATTTGTCGAAGCGTATGTAGCTACTGAATGTGTCTCGCTATGTTCTGATTTTGTCATGAAAGGCGATGAGCTTCTGTCTTGTATTGTGTGTTAAACATTACTAGCCAAACAATCAGATATGGACCTGGTGTTTGTAGTTCGTGTATTAACATATGTTGGCGTTTGCTCTTGTAGCTGTGGCGGTTTCATCCGTGGTTGCTAGGCGACGCCGTGTGCAAGCTGTCGATGTTTGTGGGAGAATGTTGCACGTTCTCGTCCATCCTGCACATGACGGCGCTGGGGGCGGAGCGATACCTAGCCGTCTGCTTCCCGCTCCGCGCGCGCCTGCTGGTCACCAGGGGGCGTGTCCGAGCGCTGATCGCGGGGCTGTGGGGCGTGGCCATGCTCAGCGCGGGGCCGGTGTTTGCGCTGGTGGGGGTGGAGCAGTTTGAGGGCGGAGCCAGCGAGTGCCGCTGCACGCAGTACGCACAGACCTCCGGGCTTCTGAAAGCCATGCTGTGGCTCTCCAATCTCTACTTCATCTGTCCGCTCACCGTCCTGTCGCTCCTGTACGGCCTGATCGCTCGCCGCCTGCACCTGCGCTCGCACACGCACCGAGACAAGACACACCGCCAGACCCTCCGCATGATGGGTGAGCATTATGGGTAATAATACTACTACTTTCTGAATCCTTAAAGGACTAGTTCAAATGTATTTACTCAGTGTTGTTTTATTATCGAGATATTATTATAGTATATATCGTAGTATTATATATATTTTTTTCTTTATAATAGTAAAAAAAGTTTAATGAATGTTATAATAATTTAAATTTGTATTTTTGTATTTTCTGTTTTTAATTTTAATGTTTTAGTAAGTTGTGTGTGTTTTGTCATCTTTATTATTTTTGTTAAATATATCTATATAGTTTTTAGTATTTTTTTGCATTTTAGTTTGTTATTTTAGTTCATCACGTTAAACTGAATTAAAATTAGTTGCTTTGGCAGCTAGCTGAAATTTAAAATATATATAAAATATATATATATATTTCATTTCATTTAACGTTTATTTGATTTTGAGTTACTTTTTTTGTATTTTTATTAGTTATTGTTTTTGTTAAATGTCTTTATTGTGTTTTTATTACATATTAAATTAAATGAAAATTAGTTGCTTCGGCAACTAGCATATATATATATTTGTGCTGTCAAACGATTAATCGCATTCAAAATAAAAGTTTTAGTTTTAATAATATATGAGTGTGTAATGTGTATATTTATAATGTATATGTAAATACAAACACATGCATGTATATATTTAAGAAAAATGTTATGTTTATATATTATGTGTGTGTGTGTGTGTGTGTGTGTGTGTGTGTGTGTGTGTCCGTGTCCGTGTCCGTGTGTATGTGTGTGTGAGGCTTGAAACAAACTACAGGACTCTGAAGGAAACTACTGAGGTTTGTTATGGCCACAAGAATGCACTATAATTGTGTAACTGGGATCTGGCCAAGCATGTTTATGTTCACTTTTTGCATTTGTGTGTTTAGAGTCAGCACTGTCCCTCGTGTGCGCTGCAGATGAACGGCAGCATATCTACAAGTGGACAGCGTCACTGAGCTTTTTAGAAACACTATATATATATATGTCTTTGTGTTTGTTTTTATTGTATTTATTGTGTTGGATGGGGCTTATTTCATAGATATTGAATAAAAGGCTGTTCTTTGTGACACTGTGATGTTTTATGAAAGCAATAGTGCTTTGAGGGATGAAGATGCTGCTGCTTCAGATGATTATTTACATCCACGGCTTTTATGGATCTGCACATACATGTTAATGTCAGGTAAATGATTTCTACTTTATGATTTCTAATTTGAACTATGTTCTCTGTATTTATTTCTATGGTATTTTTACTTATTCCAATGTGGATATATTAACAGCATATTGTAACATTAATATTCATTCAAATAAGTGTTTGTGTTTATATAATTTATTCTAAATTTGCAAACAAAAAAAGTAATCTAGAGTTAATGTAACTTCAGTGTGGTTAAAAAATGGTAAGAAAATAGTGTTTTCTTCATTTTTTTAAAAATTAAATGAAATGTTTCAGAAATAAATAAACTTAAGCTATATAAATAAACTTAAATTGAACCAGAAACCAGACAGAAATATACCCAAATAGAATAGAAATAATA